GACTGACAAACCTCTGAGGCAAGTCTTACTCAAGCCCGAGGTTTCCGGTCGGCTGACGAAGTGGGCCATCGAGCTCAACGAGTACGACCTCCAGTATAAGCCACGAACTGCTATTAAGGCCCAAGCCTTGGCAGATTTCATCGCCGAGTGCATGTTCAACCTCGAAGTCCCTAGGCCGGTTGAGCCTGAGATCCCCAGTTCGGGTAAGCCCGAAGCTCCCAGGCCAATAGAGTCCGAACCCCGTCAAGTAGCAGCCAGGGTGGCATCTCTCCTAGTTAGGCCAAACGCGAACTGGGATGAGGAGCCCTGAATCCTTCACGTAGATGGCTCCTCGAACCAACAGGGCAGCGGGGCTGGAATAGTCCTGCGCGGCCCAGGTGGCACAAAATTGGAATACGCGCTATGCTTTGAGTTTGCGGCATCCAACAACGAGGCGGAGTACGAGGCATTGATAGCCGGGCTGGCCCTAGCGCAAAAGGTAAGAGCGAAACACAGTTATCTGCAGCGATTCCCAGCTTGTGGTCAACCAGGTTATGGGCGAATACGAAGCACGCGAGCTAACTATTATCGCCTACTTGGCAAAGGTAAAGGAGGCTCTACTCAACTTCCAGTCACATTTCATCAAGCAAATCCCGAGGTCAGAGAACACTGAGGCCGACGCCCTGTCCCGGTTAGCCAGCATCAGTCACAACGCCATGAGAACCGTGTACATAGAGGACTTACCTCGGCCTAGCATTCTCGGTGGGGCAGAGGAGGTCGCTCCTGTCTTTGAAGCAGAGCCGAGCTGGATCGACCCACTCGCGAGCTTCTTGCTAGATGGGACCCTCTCTACGGACTGCAATGCAGCCAGAAGGGTGCAGCGCCAGGCAGCCAAATATGTCATAATAGACGAACGGCTGTACTGACGGTCGTACACTCTCCCCTACTTGCGTTGCTTGCGACCTGCCGAAGCCGAGCTCGTACTCCGTGACACTCATGAAGGTCTGTGCGGTGGACACTTGGGGGGCAGGGCCYTCRCCCRGAAGGCACTTCGACAAGGGTACTACTGGCCAACGATGAAGGCAGAGGCCATCGAGCTCGTCAGAAAATGCGACAAGTGTTAGAAGCATGCCAATATCCACCATCAGCCTNCAATATCCACCATCAGCCTGCCGCCGACCTCAAGTATCTCACCAGTCCATGGCCCTTTGTGCAATGGGGCATCGACCTCCTGGGGCCATTCCCGCCAGCAACAGGTGGGAGGAAGTTCCTAGTGGTGGCGGTAGATTACTTCACAAAGTGGGTAGAAGTTAAACCTCTCGCAACAGTTACAGCTCGAAACGTACATAACTTCTTTTGGAAGAACATAGTATGTCGCTTCGGGTTACCTCGGGTACTGATCTACGACAATGGCAAACAGTTCGAGGATATCAAGTTTCAGGAATGGTGCCAAGATATGGGAATTCGGCAGAACTTCACATCGGTTGCGCACCCGTAGGCAAACGGTCAAACAGAAGTTATGAACAGAGCTATCCTCCGCGGACTGAAAGCGCGACTAGACCGAGCTAAAGGGTTGTGGGCAGACGAGCTACCAAGTGTTTTATGGGCTCACCGAACTACGAAAAAAACCGCCACGGGAGACCCCCTTTAACCTCACCTACGGCACTAAAGCGGTAAACCCGGCGGAGATCGAAGTACCTACACTGCGACTAGAAGCATACGACGATCAGACAAACGAAGACGAGCTACGTACCAACCTCGACCTACTGGACGAGGTAAGAGACCTCGCGTACATCCGAATCGCAGCTTTCCAGCAAAGAGTAGCTCGATACTACAATGCCAGAGTAAAAAAGCGGAACTTCCGCGTCGGCGACCTGGTTCTCCGTAAGATCATGGCACCCAAGCCCGGTGTGGGCAAACTTGGACCGAACTGGGAAGGGCCCTACCGAGTAAAGAGAGCGCTCGGGGGAGCATACGAGCTTGAAACATTAGAGGGCAAACAAGTACCCCGAGCTTGGAACGTCGTTAACTTAAGACGATACTACCTATAAATTACCAAGCGAAGTGGACTAGGAGTCGCTATCAGAGCCTGAGGGTTAGAATGACAAGCTAACAAGGACCTCGGCACCATAAGACTTAGTCAGTTCGGAAAGGCAAAATGATAACACGAGCTAACAAGGACCTCGGCATCTCATCATCAGAGGCATATGGTTAGTTCGACAATATAGTCAGTTCGGAAAAAAGAGGGTGACAACAACTTAGTCAAAAGAACGTTTCATTACAAAATACTCTGTTTACATTCCAAAAA